GACAGAAATGCCTGAACAGAGACGCTTATTTGGAAAGGTGAATTAACTTTGGCCACGACATGGACTGTCAGACAAAATGGCAGTATCCTAAGAGTTAAGGACTTCCATAACCGGCACATCAAACAGAGGAGTCAAGAGAGTGCAGTTCAGGGAAAAAGGAAAGGAGGAAACTGAGGCAGGGAAAAATGTTCTCCAAATAATTGTTCATGTTGGAAACTTTTGTAATGGCTTTATTGAAATTTAAGTTCACATACAATTTGTATCCATTTAAAGTGTACAATTTGATGACTTTTGGTATATTCAGAGTTGTGCAACCATTATCACTAGATCAATTTTAGAAAATTTATCACCCCAAAGAGAAATCCTGCACCCATCAGCCATCACTCCCCAACCCATCGGCCACCCCAAGCCCTCTGTAACCACAACTCTATTGTCTCTATAGATTGGCCCATTCTGGACGTTTTCCATAAATGAAATCATATAGTATGTGGGATTTCGTGACAGGCTTCTTTCACTTAGCACAGTGTCTTAAAGTTCATCCACGTTGTAACATGTGTATCACTATGTCACTCCTTATTGCTGAACATCATTGTTCAGTATCATGTCAAGACCACATTGTTATTTATCCATTCATCCATTGATGGATATTTGGGTTTCCACTCTAGCTATTATGAACAATGCTGCTATGAATTTGTGTCTAAGTTTTTGTGTGGATGTGTGTTTTCGTTTATCGTGGGTATATACCTAGGAGTAAAATTGCTGGAACACACGGTCACTCTTGTTTAATCTTTGGAGGAACTATCATCCCAAGTGGCTGCATTATTTTACGTTTCCACCAGCATTGTATGAGGCTTCTACTTTCTCTACATCCTCAGCAACACTTGTTACTGTCCATCTTTGATTACACCCATCCTAGTATGTGTGAAGTTGCATCTCACTGTGGTTTTGATTAGCATTTCCCTAGTGACTAATGATGTTGAGCATCTTTTCATATGGTTACTGGCCATTTGCACATCTTTGGAGAAATGTCTATTCAGATCCTCTGCCCATTTTAAATCGGCTTACAACTTACTGAGTTTAAGAATTCTTTGTATATTCTAGGTATAATTCCCTTTTTGGATATAACTTGCAAATATTTTCTCCCATTCTGTGAATTTTTAAAAATCCTCTTGATAGAGTCCTCTGAGGCACAAATTTTTAAATATTTGATGAAGTCCAATTTGTTTTTCTCTTTGCTTGTGCTTTTGGTGTCATATCTGAGAAACCACTGCCAAATTCAAGGTCATGAAGATTTAACCCTATGTTTTCTTCTATGAGTTTTATAGTTCTACTTCTTACATTTAGATCTTTGGTCTATTTTGAGTTAATTTTTGTATACGGTGTGAAATAGGAGTCCGACCTCATTCTTTTGCATGTGGATATCCAGTTGTCCCACCACCATTTGCTGAAAAGACTATTCTTTCCCCCATTGAATGATCTTGGCACCCTTGTAAAAAACCAATTGACTGTAATTGTGAGAGGGTTTATTTCTGGACTCCAAATTCTATTACCTCACTTTATTCATTACTGTAGCTTTGTAGTATTGAAATTGGGGCATGTGAGTCCTCCAACTTCGGTCTTCAGGATTGTTTTGGCTATTCTGGGTTCCTTGAATTTCCATATGAATTACAACTAACTTGTTCATCATTGCAAGAAGCCAGCTGGGATTTCACATTGGAAACCACTCAATACTTCAGAATTTAATAAACAATAAGATATACGATTCATAAGACATTTATCTGCAGGTAATTTGCTTACAACAGCATATTATATACTTCATTCAATTCATGACAGAATGTATAAAAAGTAAAACTTTTACTGAGGGAAATCTGAAGCCTAACAGAATCTTGCTGTCAAACACACAAACTATGCTTCAGTGTCATTTCTTTTGTGGGGGAAACTTTCAAATTAAAAATTATACGTAACATAGGAAAAACTCACTCTTATTTTAACAGCTTTACTTTTATTTTTATAAATGCTGGAGCGCGGTCTACACTGGAGGAGATTTTTTTAAAATTGCAGTAAAATATACACAACATTTGCAGATTTTTAAATAATTAAATGAAATGTTATGAACAAAGAAGTAGCATTAAGTGTTGCCAATATTAAGAAAAAAAATCTGAGCTGATTCAGGTACTCAGTGTGGGAGGAGGTTACTTGGACAAAGCAAAGGTATTTCCAGATAGAGGCACTGCTATGAATCCATTCTCAGAGCCCAGAAGATTGCACCCCTAAAGTGACCCTCGAAATGGATGCTCACAGAAGCCTGCCTTTCTGTCCACTTGGGGCTTGGTTGCAAAGGCCTACTGACAAAAGCTTACAAGGGCTGTCACTTCCCCTGTGGTCCCAAGAGTAGTTCCATGCCGGGTCATTCTTAAGCCCAACCTTACAGGGCTGATATGAAGAGCAAACAGGATACGTGCATCTAAAGGGCTTTGTGGCCACCTACTAAGCTCCTGTTCAACTGGCATTCAAGATTCAGTGATATTCCTTCTCAATTTCCTGAAACTGCCAGTTGGGGCAGAAATAATAGCAATAATGTTTTATAATAGCAATCATGTTATAATAGCTCATATTTCTTGAGACTCTGTCAAGTGCTCTGTTGCAGGTTATTATCTCATTAAATCTTCACAACAACACTGAGGTAGGTACTGTGATTACCTCCATTTAAAGATAAGGAAATTGAGTCACATGAGATGTAGGAAATGGAGCCAGGATTCCACCCAGCAACCTGACTCTAGATATCCTGGGCTTTTAAAAAAAAAATTTATTGATTGATTTTTGAGATGGCATCTCGCTCTGTCACCCAGGCTGGAGTGTAGTGGTATGATCTCGACTCACTGCAACCTCTGCCTTTTGGGTTCAAGTGACTCTCCTGCCTTAGTCTCCTGAGTAGCTGGGATTACAGGCATGCACCACCATGCCCAGCTAATTTTTGTATTTTTAGTACAGACAGGGTTTCTCCATGTTGGCCAGGCTGGTGTCAAACTTCTGACTTCAGGTGATCTGCCCACCTCAGCCTACCACAGTGCTGGGATTATAGGCATGAGCCACCGCACCTGGCCTGATCCTGGGCTTTCTAAACCACATCCCCAGATGACCTCCAGTGACTTCTTTCAATGAAATGTTCTATTCTCAAATCACATCAATTACCACCTGTAAGGAAAGGGGATGAAAGCTGGCACATAAATTGTTGTGAGCTTTTAGAAAAGAATATGTTGGCCGGGCGCGGTGGCTCAAGCCTGTAATCCCAGCACTTTGGGAGGCCGAGGCGGGTGGATCACGAGGTCAAGAGATCAAGA